GGCTATCTATACTCGCGTTAAAGCCGGCCTTCAACCGCATATGGTGGGAGCGCACAGGACACGCTGACGTGGGGCCTTCCCTGGATATAAAACGCGCTTCCGTCGCGGTTTGCAGGCCATCCCCGTACCACCCACCCTCCACACCATGCTCAGCCTCAACACACCCGGTCTCGCGCTCTACTCCATCCCAGGGGTGTGGTTCATCGCGTTCTACCCCTCGTTCGTCCGGGCGAGCTCCCCACAAAACAGGTGACAGACCGCTGCGGTGCTGAACGTCGGTCTTCTTTGCAGTTCCTGAAGCTGTCGAGCACCACCGGGTAGAACAAGTGAGTCGCTCCCGCTGAACGTGCGTGACGCTTGCCTGCTCACCTTGTCGTCCCGGCCAGTGTCCAGCCGCGCTCCAACATGGCGTGCCTGAAGGACAACCAGAAGCTCGACCAGGCCACGCGCGACCGCCTCGCGCGGATGGTCGGTGCGCACGAGGTGAGCGGCAGTCCGCGTGCGCTTCTGCACATGCAATACGTGGCGCTGACGCAGGTCCCTCTTCGCGCGTTAGAATGGCATGGAGAACCTGCCGCTTTGGATCGGCGCCGTCGTAAGCCTTTGCTTTTCTGGCGATGGGAACTGGGGGCGGCGTATCTGACGATGATGGCAAACTTTGTTCAGCTCGCAGGGTACACTGCCAGCATCCCGCACAGCACGCTCAACACGTTCGCCGTCGGATAGTGAGTTTCGTCCGCGATCGTTTTTGGGTGCGGACGGGTTTGATGGCGTGCCTTTTGCCAGCGTCGGCCTGCGCCTCCTGTACAACTTCATCTACATCAACCAGACCACCGAGGCTGTCGGCAACCTCCGGTGGGCCCCCCAACTTCTGCACGTCTTGAATTCTCGCTGATCGAGTTTTTGTCTCAGGTCTATGACCTTCTTTGCTGGCCTTTGTGAGCTCACTGTCCTCTCCCAGAGTCCCAGCTCGCCGCATCTGACCTTTTGCGTGTGCCACAGCGCTTCCCTTGACCCTCCTCATCAAGTATGCAAACAAGGTCGCGGCGACCTGTTTCTGATTATTTATGCACGTTGTCTTGGATGTACCTCGCTCTTGATCGAATTCAACTTTTTCGCATCTAACCTCGAAGGCTTGACGCGTCTGCGGCGCGTCGCGCGTGGTGAGTCACGGAGCGAAGATCCGATAGGCTGGCGCTTCCGCTATTAGTATGACTCAGGTCATTGCGATTATGTAATTGTTCGATATGAGTTGCCTTCATGTTCTTTCGACGCATGTAAAGCCTCTACGATACACTCATCCTTGAGCATATCTGGCGAATGAGTAGTCTCGAGCTAAGTAATAGGTGTGAAAGCTCTATATGACACACTGTACTGCAGCGCTGTGTTTCCATCTTCCGAAGTGATGCATGGCGCTGGAACTGGGCACTCCAGAAGATAGAGATGAAACAAATAGCACGGGCCAGAAACATGGTCAGAAGATTCTATCTCCTTCTAACCTCGAGCATATGAATTGCCCTTCACTGCACCTTAACCTCAGAGGGGCTCATTCCTACTGCCCTGACCTTCTTCAGCATGGCCCTCGCTCGCAGTAGAGCCACCTTCTGTCTACGTCTATAGGCTGTCCCGCCATCCCAGAAACCCTTCGATCCAATGAAACGCCGCTGGTGATAATCGCGCATGATGGTGTATGAGAGATCGTCCCACAACTATAGTTTGGCCTGCCCTTGTATGGGTCTGAGCCCACTGTGCCTGAGTCGAGCTTGGGTCAGGTATGTGCACCGTAAGTAACGCTCACTTGTACGCTACTCTTATGGTGACCATCTCAAATGGATGTTCTGCGCCCCAATCAACCGTGCACAGGTCCCGGAATACCTGAATCGTTTCTACATCAACTTCGCTGCATATCGTTTGTTCTACTTGTCTCTTCTATTCGATGCGGTATCTCCAGCTGCGGATGTTGCCCATTTCCGACGTTCATTCTTTTCCTAGGACGCTGAGCCAGGGTGCTGTCTGATAAGCGCGAAGCGTATGTAGATACAAGTCACTTATGAACTGAGCGAGCGATAGTCTATGCTAGATGCAGCTCCGCCGCACACCCTCACGTTCACCATGTCAGAGCAGTCAAATCAGACCATTTCTCAAATCTACTCGCAGAAGTAAGCATAAACTCCGTTCGCACTTGACGACGCGATACTCATGCATCCGCTCTGCATTGGTAGCCTCGTTTCGGAGTATGTCGTGGGAGTTGTCTCATGCGAGTGCATCTTCCGCGTCCCATTCCACGACTCACAGTGTTCCTTCCTCAGCCCTCGTTGTCTACGAGTTTCTGATCACCATCTCCAATGAAATTGACATCGTGTGGAAGAGACCTGTCACCGTATCTGCCGTGCTATTTGGCTCAATAAGATGGTGCATGCTCCTCACAGCGACATTCGAACTTGCGCCAATAATTCCCAATGTAAGCCTCGAATATCGTTAAATGACAGCAGTTGCAAATAATACTTCTGACAGAAGTAAGTACAGTTTGTTTGGAAACTCTTACACGTACAATTTGCTCACCAAAACCCGACACACAGCTGCGCACCGCTTTATATCCTGATTCGTGTGTTCCTCCTGATCGGCTATACTCAGACCGCACGTACGACTCACATAGTTTGCTCGAGTCCAGACTACCTGCTAACTTACCCGCACCAGTCTTTTCTGCCCTGCGCGTCTTCGCGATCTCGAATAGGAGCCACATCTGGTCACTAGTAGTGTTCGCGCTGAGTATGGTACCGTTCATGACGAACCTGGTGCGTGTCGCCTCTGCTCATACCCATATACGCTCTAGTTGACACTTCTGTGTAGGTAGATGCAGCGATGACAAAGTACACTGCCGTCACGGATCCGATCTTCGGCACGACATGCGACACAAATTTCCCATTCTCTCCGCAGGCGGATAACATGTAGATACACGCGTCTTACTGTTCCTGGTCCACAATGCTCATCTGTCACCGCACAGATGTGTGTCATAACCACAGCTCATGTCACTCTGTAGACACTGATGGTACCTGGTTAGTGACATACATCACCCGCAGTTCGCTCGTCCTCGCCGACACGATTGTGCTTGTCCTGACGTGGATCAAGACATTCGGAAATTGGAGGCGTGCCCGCAGTGTTAACGTCCAGGTGTCGCTGACGACGTGTCTACTGCGTGACGGTCAGTAGTCTTCCATGCAGAGTTGTATTCGCTACTACTGCTGAGCGCTGAGGCCCGGCTGCCCACACAGGCACCATCTATTTCATGTAAGCATCACAACAAAGGCGACCAGTCGAGCGTAGCTCATGGATGACAACAAATGCAGAGCTTTGTTAGCGGTCAACATAGCCCAGATGCTAACCTACAATTTTGCGGTAGGTCCCCGACATGAGTGCATGGGCTGACGGCTGACGCTGTGTCTAAGATTGGGTCACCCGTAGCGGAATTCAGCGCGACCCTGGTGGGCCCACTACAGTACTCTTCGTCAGCTACTTTGGTACTCATTAACACCCCACGCAGCCTCTGATGCTCATCCATCGCTTCATGATCAACCTGCGAACGGTCGACCCGGAGGTGCTGAATTACTCTACCCATCTTACTAATCGACAGCAAGAACGGTCGACGGTGCAGTTCAGAAGGCAAATGAATCGACTGGGCAATATCGGGGAGACGCTGCAGAGTGGTTGGGACAAAGACGAACCCGCGGACGAAGAGATTGACCGCGCAGAAGTGGACGGGGCGGGACGGGGCGAGAATAGTGCAGAGGCATGAACCGACGCCAACAAGTACAATGGAGTATGTTCTATGTCGAGTAAAAACTGTGAAATTTGTAACGTATGCAAGCAGGAGACTCAAAGTTTATGGTATCGAATGACTGCCATCGCGCAAAGTGTCGTGGGGCCTTCAAGTTCTTGGGACATGTTCTTCCATACCAGCATCAGCTTCTATCACTGGGTGCGTCTGTATCTCACCTCTTCGAGGCGTTCACGGTGGTGACAATCACCAAATCGAACACCACAACCGATTTTGACCCTTTGTTCACCGCGTCTTCCACATCATACCTCCTTGACCTCGTCAAGACACCCGCTCGCCTAGTTCAGAAGTCGGATATCCAACAGCCTTAAAAATATTCCCGCTCAGAATCACACTTAACAATAATACGGTCGAGGTCACCGCTACTAATCAACCCTCGTAACAGGCCACAGAGCGAGAGATCCCCTGGAAAATACGAGTAATAAGCTCACTTTGTGGAGGCGCACGGCTGTCCAAGTCACCGAACGAGGTCAGCCGTCACAGATGCTGTAAAGTATGCGTTGACAGGTGCTGGACACAGGTATCTTGATTGCACTTAGTGAGTGTTCAGTCCTCGTTGTGCATTGCCGGTGTGTCCACCACACCCGGCACCTTTAGGACTGTCAACACGAGGGTATATTGAACAGATATTCCATCCTCCCAGACATCCGGCCGAGAAGTATAGTGTCATATAAAGTAATTTATAATGCCGGTAAGCTCTTGGATGATATCCAAGCGAATCCGTCTCTTTACTAGTACTAGGACGAGGTGGCTGTAGGACGTGCGGTGGCCCAAGACACGGGAAGTGAAGAATCAATATTCTTTGTGGGGTCCTTTAATGAACTTTGGTATCGTCTCAGGAGGAGAGTAGTAGATAGACCAGAGATGAAGGTCAAAGCCAATACAGAGGAAGTTGCACCAAGCGACGCTACTCCATGATATACTAGCCGCTACGATTGCAACCATTGAATACCACAGGCTCCGAATTTTCTACTCGCATATAATGGACTGCAAAAGTTGCCATCTGGCTGGTACATGGTATACTCCAGCATGGCCTTCGGCGCAGGGTCATGCCCGGCGCAGATCTCACGAGAGCTGTGTCCCGTCCACTTCTGCGGTGCCATTCCCCTCTTCTATGGGGTCATCGTCATCCCAGACGTTCTGCAGCGTCTCTCCGATATTTCCCAGTCGATTCGTTGACCTTCTGAAATGCTCTGTTGATGGCTCTTGCAGTTGGTATGCAATACGTGTGGAGTAATCCAGCACTTCTGAGTTGGCCATGCGCAGATTAATCATGAAGCGATTGGCGAGCACAAGGGGCTGCGTGGTAAGTTATTGAGCACCACAGAGTTCAGCGAAAGGTAGGTTACATGCCATGTTCGAAACTAATGTACCCACAGACGAAAAGTCCTTGAGTAGAACATTAGCTATCTGCACACGCGCCCATATCGAAGACGTACTGTAGGAGAGTTGTAAAGTAGTAGCTGGGCTATGTTTATCGTTAGCAGAGCGCTGTGGCCGTTTTCGCCTGTGAGCAGCCCTCTCAGACGAACAACTTTGCTGTCGCACTCACATGAAATATAAGGTTCCTGCAAGAGTAGCTGGCCCTCAGCCGCAGCAAATGCGAGAGCCTATGGAGGATGACTAACCGTCACGGAGCAAGCATGTTGTCAATGGCACCTTCGCATTGATGCTGCGTGCCCGTCTCCAGTCTCCGAATGTCTTAATCCATGTTAGGATGATCACGATCATGTCGGCAAGGATAAGTGAACCGCGGGTGATGTATGTGACTACGAACAGGTGCCATCAGAAAATCAAAGTACTCGGTTGAGGCACGTACGACTGCGGAGGACAAATAAGCAACCAAAAATGAAAACAGAGAAATGCGTACACCCACATATCGTTCGTCCGTGCAGAGAACGGCGAAGGCTTTGGTGTGCATATCGCACCGAAAGGTGGTTCCACGACGACATTGTAAATCAACGTCATTGCTACAGTCTGCATGAGATAGTCAACCAGAGCACATACGAGTCTGAGCAGGAGAAATGCCCACAAGGTTCGTCGCAAACGGTGCCATGCTCAGTGTGAACACTACCAGCGACCAGGCGTAGCTTCTACCAGATATTGCGAAGACGCGCAGAGCGGAGAAGACTAACGCGTGGAAGTCAGTGGTTATTCCGGACTCTAGCAAGTTGTGACGTACGTGCAATTTGAATAAACCCAATAAGGGTGAATGAGAAGCTCAAGATATTCAATGGTGTACAGCTGTATATCGGATTCCGATAAGCAGCCTATTTACGCAAGAGCTTCGGACAGACTGAACTTACTCCTGTAAAAAGCGTCACTTTTAGTTTTGTCATCCAATAATGCTCGAGGCTCACGTTTGGCGTCATAGGCAAAATTTGGAAGATCACTGAGAAGAGCATACACCATCGTACCGAGCCAAGAAGCATGGCGGATGCAGTGATGGGTCTCTTCCACACCATCTGAATCTCATCAACCATGGTAATCACGAATTCGTAGACGACGAGAGCTGAGGGGCAAATATTGTGAGTAGTGTAATGGGATGTTAAGTATGTATTTACACGCGACAGCTCCCAAGAAATACTCTCCTACTAGGCTAGAAGATGAACACATGAATATTGGATGATCAAGTGAAAACATAGATAGTGCTTACAGCTGCAAGAATAGTTGAGTAAGAACCTGGTCTGATCGTCCTGACATAGTAAGGGTAGGGGATAGAGAGAGGCGAGCTGCATCGAAGGTATGCTCTCGCTTGCTCGGTTTATAAACTATTTGGTCAACTGTTTATCAACACACGCTTCGCACCTACTGGGTAGTACTTTAGCTCGTGGGAGGAACGGCGTCGACGGTGTCTACCAGACACTGGCGGACTGCGTCGCATAGGATGACTACTGCAAGTAGGTGGGCTATGCCTGGAAGAAGCGATTGCAGCAATTTTCTTGGCGCGACGAAACCTGTACTCTGGTGGCTCCGACCCCGGTGCGATGACCAGTAGATGTGGGAGATGTTTGACCGGCGTGGGCAGGGAAACGCGGTTTGATTGACCCTGGTGGCTATCGGAAAGAAAGGTGTTGCTGCCGTCTTGTTCGTATATGTTGGTATTGCCTATAACATTCAATCAAGGCATCAGTTCCCGTCCGGGAAGATCGGAGACTAAAAGTTGCAGCGATGGAAAAGTTACACATTGAGCTTGACGCAACCTCGACGGCTCCCTTCAATAAGCGAGTACTTCTTCGTGCATCTAGCTACCCGAACTCGACGCAATAGACCAACATGCATACGAGGGTAGGCCGAACCCTAATCGCAGAAGACTGGAAGTTCTTCCCGCGATTGCGCGGACTTAGCAGCCGGTGCCGTTCGGCAACTGCTGAATACAAGCTAACATTTGATGACACCCAACAATGGCCAGTGCTCTTCTGCGATGCCGGGTGATGTTTCGCTGTTATCACGGGTGGCGTCGCTGGAGATGCCCAAACAAGCTCACCGGTATCACAGTGTCAAACGAGCAGATGATGCTTAGATCAACTGCGTTTCAGTTCAGCTCAGCTGCTGCCGCCGCCCTCTAACAAGTGTGCTCTGCCTCTACTGCGCTATCTTGCTGCTGATTTTCTGCTCAATTGCGGTCGCTCCTCAGGCTCAATAGGAAATTCTTCACGACTTAACCACAAACTTACCAGAGACGGGGAGCTGGTAATCAAAGGAAGCGAGCTAGCCTCAGCGTCATTGGGGAGGGCAGACTCAAACATCTTGCACGCTCCCACACGCAAGGAACGCTACGTCGCCACCATACTGCTAGATCGATGAAACAATCACATCAGCTCGCGTATGCTAACGTCTGCCAGCAGCAAGTGAGTGAATGCTCACGAACGCGAGATTTGAAACCATGTACCATCATCCGAGGCATCTAGAGTGCTTGCATGTAGAGCGCAGTTCACGAACGCAATTCATCCCACGCGAGACCGTGACTGTTCGCAAACGGGATCCTCAATTCGACTCGTGTGCATCCACACTCGCTATAATTGAATGTTACTTTGCAGGAATAAATGTCCCGCAAGCGCTACGCCTGAGAAATATGGATTAAATATGTTGCGGGAAAGAAGTTATCTGGCCACTCAGACTAATCTTGTGGTAGCACTTACCTTCTCTGAAATTGCCATTCCTTTCCCTCCATGTCCCAAACAACCGCAAACACCCAGACGTCCTTGACTGTCCCATCACCCTCGCCCTCTGCTTCATCCTCCTGTGTAGTCTCGGATCCGCGCCAGGCCTTCTCCGTTGCTGACCGTGGCGTCCGCTCAGAACCGTTGAAGAGGAAAGAGGCGCCAGCCGTTTGATGCGCCTCTCAGATGAGACCGGCTCGATCTGGTTCGATGCGCCCAGCAAGAGTCGAGCGCCCCGCTCTTGAGCGCGAAGCTGATGCCTCAAGAATTTTGGACACAATTCTTCGCTTGCACAACCGTCGTCGACAACTGCCAAGCTGCATTCTATTTTCTCGGATTCGCTCGCCTGAACCTCATAGACTACTCGACATGGACGATGACCGACTTCACATCTCCGCCGTGCGTGGTCGCTCGAGTCCACAACTATCTCCATCGACCCTGAGCAAATGAAGTACTCGCACATACGAATACTCGTCACGTCGTCGGTGACTCGAAATGGCTGCCAGCTACGCTCTTCGCGCTTTCGTCAACGTGCTTTGTACAATCACCCGGGGGGGGGGGGGGGGACGTCGTCTCTCTGCTCCGAAGCGGAGTACTTGTATGGCTGGCCGCAGGCACCAGGAACTTCGTGCGCGAGTGGGGCTGGGAAATGCTGCAGGAAGTGAGCTGTCAGTGGCAATGTATGAGAAGAGTAGTGTGAGACGTACGTCTCCAGCTTTCGTATATGCGCACCGTTGCTGAAGTTCGGAGCTATTCAAGGCGTATACTGGTTGAGCGCGTCTGCGCACGATCAACGCTTCCTACCGACACTAGAATAGCGTGAAGCGCATCTCTGTCACACTGGACTGCTAGGATACGCTGATCCAGGGTCCTCCATTGGGCGCGCCGTTCGTTATCTTTGTAAGTTTGATGTCTCGAGAGGAATGCACACCACTCGCAGGAGTTTTGCGACAAGACGCCGGTAATCCTCGGCTACCCCAAGCTTATCGATATCTCGCACTCTGACTGAGCAAAACGTCGGCAGAGTGCGCCTTGGGCGTCGACAATGACTACAACTGTCAGATAGCAAATTCAGACGTCCAGGTACCGTTCCACTACAATAGCCAGACGATGCTCAATAACGGTACACTCCTCTATTATCTGACAGCGAGATTCAGCTGCTGGTGTACGTGGACGATGTCGATGACATTTGCGGCTACACTGTAGTATGTCTTTTTTGTTAGCGTCAGTAAGAGCCGCGACGGCCGACAGGTTGCTTTTGCGCCAGGATCTCTCGTAACTTTAACCACATAGCCCGAAAGTAAGTAGCTGGCTTCTTAGCGTTTGTTGCCCCCTTCTGCACCTTATTCTCAACCCTGCCCTTTCTATACCTACCGCCGCATGCCCTTGATCGTCCACAAATTATGCTCACTCCCTCCGATGATCCGACTGGCTTGGCCGGCGTGGCTTATTATGGCTGCTGCTGCTGCTGCCAAGGCGGCGCGCCTGCCGCACTGAGCCGTCACAGACGGTGAGTACCAGAATCGGCCACGGAGATACTTAACTAGAAACTGATCGACCAATCTATTACCACAGGAGTGCTATAGCTGGTAGCCAAGTGGAGTCCAACCACGAAGACATCAGCCACGAATACAACAGTCACGCAAACAGCTTCCGAGAGAACGTTAATCGCGTAGCGGCACGAAGCTGCCGTCTCGAACACAAGGATCATGCTGAACTCGCGGCTGCGCCCTAGGTGCTCCAGGCTCCAGAGGACGTCTGCGAAGCGCCACATCGACGAGGTCCGCTCTGCGGATAATAGCTCGGTGATATTCGTTTTCAAGCCGGATTGCGATTCAACCTACTGCCGGGTCTGGTTCGATTTCTTGTGCACGGACACATGGCGCCGTATGATGCGCTCGAAGCAGCTTTAGTATGAGGTCTAAGTAATCTGAACATCGTGCGCTGCTGTGCCATTGATGATGCTTGTGAATTTCCCAGGACATAACTTCTAAGTGGGTTAGCGGAAAGGACTTCTGAGATTGTAAGCTTCGGAGACCTACGCATCTTGTATGAATATATGCGTAGTTTCTGTTCCGTATGCGCGTGCGGCGGGCGTACTTAGGGCGTGTTCTGCAGCTAGTGAGAGCAATTCTGCAGAGACGCCGACTCACCTTGCCACGGCACGGGGCCAGGAGCGCAAGATCGCTTCATGCGCAGCTTTTTGCCGCCGCGGTCTCGGCTCGTGCGCTCAAGCTGCGGCGGGGCTTCGGCGGGGACGGCGCGCCCGCGACAGCTTTGATGAATGACCAATCGAGGCGACGTTACTCGATGAAGCACCCGCTCTCCAAGGACCAGCAGCTCGGCTGGACGAAGCACGCCCTTTCTGCTTATACTAATAAAATTCATGTACAGGAAGCAGATTCGCTCCTCTCTGCAAGAGTCCCAGAGATAATACGCTATTTTTCTGTTAATTTAGAGCATATTCGAAGCCTTGAAATACGCGCTGTTCCAATTTGTTTCAAGGAGTGGTGGTGTTTCAGATGGATGACTGTACTTTTGCTGACCTCTGTAAGCTCGCGGGTTCCATCTTTTCACAAGCGCTAATCCATTTGTCATTTTGAATAGGTGAATAAGGTGCGTGCGATTGCTCTTTAAGAGGTTGACCACTGCGAACTCGACATGTAGGCACAAAATATTCGAATGACGGTCGATCGACTTGGAGACTTGGATGGGTGCCGTTGCTGCTCAGCGTCGTAGTTCCTCCGCGCAGTGCGGTATCTATTGCCGTTTAGCCAAGCATGAAAGGTAGGAGATCAAACTTATTAGGGAGCCCAAGATCATCGGAGGCTATTTATATTCCTGTAAAGCCGAGGAGCGCACGGGGGACGCTGGCGTGAGGCCTTCCTGAATATAAAACGCATGTTCGCAGGCCTTCCTTGTACCACCATCCTTTACACCATGTCACTCAGTCTCGACAAGCCGGGTCTCGCATTCTACACCATCCCGGCGATGTGGGCCATCGCGTTTACCCCAGCGGTCGCCACGGTGAGTTTCTGGCGGACGAGAGACTGGCGAACAGGCTGAACTAGGCACTTTTTCAGTTCCTCAAGCTGACGCTCACCATCGGATGGAACAAGTGAGTCGCTCCCACTGACGTGCGTTACGCGTGCTCACCTGTCGCCATGGCCGCCAGCGTCCTGCCGCGTTCTAACATGGCGCGCGTTAAGGACAGCCAGAGGCTTGATCAGGCCACCCGCGACCGCCTCGCGCGGTGGGCTGGTGCCCATCAGGTGAGCTGGTCTTTTCGTGTACGCATACGTGGAGCTGACGTAGGCCCTCTCGCGTAGAATGGAATGGAGAATCTCCCGCTTTGGACTGGTGCAGTCGTAAGCTTGGCATTTTACGTTGGGAACTCGGCGTTTGACGTGATGACAACTTTGTTCAGTTGGCAGGATATATTGCGGGTATCCCGCACAGAACGCTGAACACGTACGCCGTCGAGTAGTGAGTACTCCCTCACCGAGGTTCTGGTGTCGACGGCTGAACATACGCTTGCAGTATCGGCCTGCGCCTGCTGTACACCTTCATCTACACCAACCAGACCACAGAGGTCGTCGGCTACCTCCGGTAGATCCAGCCCTCTGTAGATCTTGAAATTGTGCTGACCAAGTTTATATCTCAGAACTGTGACCTTCTTTGCTGGTGTCCGTGAGTAAACCGTTCCTCTCCCAGCCCGCCACAGCTGACCTTCTGTGTGCGCCACAGCGCTCCCCGTAATCCTTCTCATCAAGGCTGCAAACAAAATCGCGGCGACTGGCATCTAATTATTTGTGCCCGTTGTCTTAGATATACCTTACTCTTGACACAAAATACAACTTTTCTCACTTAACTTGCCGAACGGCTCGAAGGCTCAGCGCGTCGCGTGCACCGCGAGAGTATTCGACTGTTACAACTTACGGGCTGAGTATCCGATAGACCGGAAGCGCGGGGTGCGTTCGCTGGCACTTAAGGCCATCGCGGTGCTCCCCGACGAGTCAGTGAGAGTGGCGACGAATGGCATACCCCTTTCGCTTACGTCGGTGGAGTCCTCTCAGTGGGCAACCACTTAGTGGTGTTCGTGCAATTGTTTTCGAAGTGGATGCTTTTCCACAGGGTTTTTTTTTCAGATTCCAGAATATAGTGCGGAGTGTAAACTACAGTCTAGTGTCTAATGGTACCGATCTATAATACCACAGCAACCAAGAGCGAAGAAACAGAATATTTCGCTTCGTAAGCGGGGTTTGAAAGTGCGACTGCGGGCTGACACGCTCGAGTGGACGCGTTCGCTCTGTGTATCGCTGATAGATCCTAACTCAACACTGCTCTGGCAGCAGTTGGAAGATGAGCACGAATCTGTTGACAATGAAGTGCTCCAAGGGATCGTTTTTGGGGCAGCGTCACTCTTGGTCACCGGTCAATCGCGCCGTATACATTGAACGTCGATGAGCTCACCACATACCTGCCTCGGTCCCTATTTCACCCAAAGGCCAGACAGGCAATACCATATGTTCCATTTATGATATCAATGTACACATCTAGCAAGACGGAGGGCGGCGTAAGTGGAGGAGTAAGTGCAACGAGGCATGCGGAGTTTGAAATCATGTCTATAAACATAGAATCTGGTCTGTAAACGCAGCTGTTTAGACCGAAACAGTGGTAAGTAAGATCTGCCGTGATGTCGTGTCTGATTTATTCTGAAATCTAGTCTACAAAGCTCTGTAGACGGCTGTGGAAAGGCATCCACTACTACTACGATACAGTAGATGTGAATGAACTCATGACGGTTGACGAGGAACAGAGCTCCAATCACGCGTCACCGATCTTGGGCGGCTGTCCAGATCTTGCGATTCCGGTCTGTTGTGAAAGACTTCGCGCAGGCGGGGGATTCACGAGTAATGAAGGATCAATTCCTAGAATAATACTACATGTTCTTATATAGGTTATCTACTTCCTAATCTGGTCAGACCAAATAAAAATGTGTCAGAACTGGGCGATTACGTCATTGCCCCTGTACC